AATTACTTTAAAAAAAAAGGAAAGCCCATTTATTTTCTCATGTAGCTAAATGTCAACATTTAGCACTAAAACTTATTCAGTATTCCTCAAAATGATTAAAAGCTGTGAAATGCAAACTCAGAATATGATGCAAATCTGCAATATGTTAAATAGCACAAATTTCCTTTATTTATTTAATCCAGCTTTATTAACCAATGACTTTGCTGCAGACCTTCAATGATCCAGTTCAACCACACTAATAAGCAAAAATGATTTTAGTTAAGCATAACATTTGTGTTTCATTTTTTTAATTGCTGAAGAGTGTTGAGCTTTCTTCTCTGCGTCTTGTTCTTCTTGCAATCCAGAACAGCAGCTCAGCTGAAAGGTTTGTTTGAGCTACGGTCTCTACTGTACAGACGTGAATTTACATTTCCTTCAACCTGAGGCTCATGCATTTCACTTCTGGTGTGAAAGGCCTTTTACATTTGCCAAAAATATAACTTTTTTATATTAAAAACAATCAAGCAAACCCAACTCAGATGAGAAAAACGAACACAAAAGTAACGTAAAGCATTACTTTCCATAAAAAGTAACTAAGTAATGCAATTAGTTACTTTTTTAGGAGTAACGCGATATTGTAATGCATTACTTTTAAAAGTGACTTTCCCCAACAGTGCAGTCAGGGAGAGAGCTTTTTGACAGAGGTCAGCATGTGTACTTTAAATGACAGTAACATCATGGATGCAGTACGTCCAGGTTTCATTCATACGGTACAAATTTATATGATATAAGATCATAATTTTTTAATGGTCATGAAGGTCGTTTCTCATCAGATGTAGTACCTACTTAGTATGCGATTGTGGAATGAGATTGATTTCCAAGTCTAAACACTCCTTCAGATCCCAAAAGCTGAGAGTGATGCGGGGACAGGGGCGTAGCAGGCTGGCACAAACGGCTCGATTAGTTCCGGCTTTGATGAAGGTCCGCCTTCCGAAAAACAAAATGTGTTGTGATTGGTTTGCTGTCCCAGTGCGTTGTGATTGGCGAACAGCTTAGACGGTGTTTCAGTACTGCCACGCCCCTTGCTCCGTCTTTCAACAAAAGCTTTTGGCAAATCCGGCACTTCTCACTCGTGATGTGGAAGCTGTCCTCAGTAAAATGCACAGCACACAATAGCAAATTGGGGTTATAATGCTCAGGAACAGAGTTAAAAAATAAATTGCAACCACTGTTTCCTGACATCATCCGCTTTCGGAAGCCCAAACAAAAACGTTTAGGCACGGACGTGAAAAAAACAGCGTTTCAGGCGGTCGCACACCAGACGAGAAGCGCAGCGTCGCATCGCGTCGCTCCACATCTTTAAAATTAAAATACATTATTTTCTGAGTGTAGGTACACCCACGGCGCCGTTCGGCATCTGTCCGCGGTGCCCAGCTACGTCGTGTTGTACTTGTAAGAATTGTTCTCAGCAGCTCTTCTTCTTGGTTTTCTCTGATGCACTAACTCTGCAGCAGCTCTTCTTCTTGGTTTTCTCTGATGCACTAACTCTGCAGCAGCTCTTCTTCTTCGTCGTCTCGTCTGATGCACTCACTCAACCAAGCGTTCCAACCACAACCTCGCCCCTCCCCGCCCCTCCCCACCCCTCAACCATTCCAATTTCTGTTTTTAATGATATTCCAATGAGCTGCTTTGTGATATCACAAAGGCCGGAAAACAAACGCTGTAGTCCAATCGAGCCGTTCGTTGTAGTTCTTGAAAAGGGATTCTTAAAAAACGAAATATCTCCCTTTGGTGTGGACTTTGAGATTTGTAACTTTCTAGATCTTTTTTTTATGCCCAAACATACACACTACACACTGACTTAAATTAAAAAAGTGAAAAAGCATAATAGGACCCCTTAAGGCAGTGTTTTTTTTTTTTACTGGGACTACTTGCCAATGTTTTAAGGAATTAAACATTAATATATATTTTCATTTTATGTTCAAATTGGTAAATAAAATTTGTTGTATAGGTAAAGGTGTGTTCCAATAGTTTTTAAAGACACTTTTTTTGTCCAACTGTTAAGAATTAGGATAAAAGTTATCGTTTAAGTGTAGTGTAACTGAAATATTGTGCATAAAATATCTTTATTTAATAAAAATAAAGTATAGATGTCCACAGTGGTCTCAAAGTCCCAAGTCCTGCAGTTATTTTTGAATTAGAGTTAGAGTTGGTGTTTTTGAGTCTGATATCACAAAAAATAGGTCTCTGTAAGCTGTCTTGCTTCCTGTAAGCTATCATGGCATGTTCCCAAAATTGCCATTAGGGTCCTCTAAAACACGCCAATTAGTATTCTATATAGAATTTATTATTTGAACATGAATGTACTTTGTACATTATGTACATAATTTGTTTGGCCGTTGAGGGTCACATCACCTGACAGCTGTCCCCCACACTTTTGAAATGGCTGCTACGCCCCTGTGCGGGGATGATATGTTTTTGTGGGCCAAAACCGGAAATGAGTTATCATTTTAGCACTTTCAGTTCCATCGTCCTGAAGTCAGTGGGTTTTTGGTTAAATAAGGTCTGCGGTGAAAGGTCACATGATGAAGTCATGTGAATGTGGTGTAGTTCATTTACAGCCTACTGTACCTACCAAATTTATAAATGTTATAAATGTTGGTGAAGATTATCATCATAAACTTTTGTTGATCCCAGAGCTTATTCTCTGCAATAATCTGAATAATCTGAACAAATCAAATCAGGGTGATTCTAACTTTCAGACCACAAAAATATGCCATCATTGTAGTGTGAAGGCAAATGGTTTTTACTAAATACTTCGATTTTAGCTAATAAAGTTAATTTATAAATAACATCTATTTATAAGTTGTTATAAATGTATCATTATTTTTGAAAATACCTTTACTTTACAACTTTTTTTCCCACAAGTGCCTAAAGCTTTACAATAGGCTACTTTAAGATTTCCAGGTAAATTTCTCCAAGCAGCTTGGAAAGAGTTCATTGTCTGTCTCTGTGTTTTCTGTCACTTCATGCAATCACGGAATCCACGATGGTGAGATCAGATTTCTGCGTGGAGCACATTATATTTCTAAAAGAAATGTCCTGCTTCATCGCAACTGATTCGATTTGAAAGAGTATTAGCATGTATCTGAAAATGATTGGTTCCTGTTCGTGTCACTCACTCACAGTGGAGAGAGAGAGAGAGAGAGAGAGAGAGAGAGAGAGAGAGAGAGAGAGAGAGAGAGATCTTCTTGGTTTTCTCTGATGCACTAACTCTGCAGCAGCTCTTCTTCTTGGTTTTCTCTGATGCACTAACTCTGCAGCAGCTCTTCTTCTTCGTCGTCTCGTCTGATGCACTCACTCAACCAAGCGTTCCAACCACAACCTCGCCCCTCCCCGCCCCTCCCCACCCCTCAACCATTCCAATTTCTGTTTTTAATGATATTCCAATGAGCTGCTTTGTGATATCACAAAGGCCGGAAAACAAACGCTGTAGTCCAATCGAGCCGTTCGTTGTAGTTCTTGAAAAGGGATTCTTAAAAAACGAAATATCTCCCTTTGGTGTGGACTTTGAGATTTGTAACTTTCTAGATCTTTTTTTTATGCCCAAACATACACACTACACACTGACTTAAATTAAAAAAGTGAAAAAGCATAATAGGACCCCTTAAGGCAGTGTTTTTTTTTTTTACTGGGACTACTTGCCAATGTTTTAAGGAATTAAACATTAATATATATTTTCATTTTATGTTCAAATTGGTAAATAAAATTTGTTGTATAGGTAAAGGTGTGTTCCAATAGTTTTTAAAGACACTTTTTTTGTCCAACTGTTAAGAATTAGGATAAAAGTTATCGTTTAAGTGTAGTGTAACTGAAATATTGTGCATAACATATCTTTATTTAATAAAAATAAAGTATAGATGTCCACAGTGGTCTCAAAGTCCCAAGTCCTGCAGTTATTTTTGAATTAGGATTAGAGTTAGTGTTTTTGAGTCTGATTATATCACAAAAAATAGGTCCCTGTAAGCTGTCTTGCTTCCTGTAAGCTATCATGTTCCCAAAATTGCCATTAGGGTGCTCTAAAGCACGGCAATTAGTATTCTATATAGAATTCATTATGTGAACATGAATGTACTTTGTACATTATGTACATAATTTGTTTGGCCGTTGAGGGTCACATCACCTGACAGCTGTCCCCCACACTTTTGAAATGGCTGCTACGCCCCTGTGCGGGGATGATATGTTTTTGTGGGCCAAAACCGGAAATGAGTTATCATTTTAGCACTTTCAGTTCCATCGTCCTGAAGTCAGTGGGTTTTTGGTTAAATAAGGTCTGCGGTGAAAGGTCACATGATGAAGTCATGTGAATGTGGTGTAGTTCATTTACAGCCTACTGTACCTACCAAATTTATAAATGTTGTGTTAATTTGTGAAGATTATCATCATAAACTTTTGTTGATCCCAGAGCTTATTCTCTGCAATAATCTGAAAGCAAATGGCAAATCAAATCAGGGTGATTCTAACTTTCAGACCACAAAAATATGCCATCATTGTAGTGTGAAGGCAAATGGTTTTTACTAAATACTTCGATTTTAGCTAATAAAGTTAATTTATAAATAACATCTATTTATAAGTTGTTATAAATGTATCATTATTTTTGAAAATACCTTTACTTTACAACTTTTTTTCCCACAAGTGCCTAAAGCTTTACAATAGGCTACTTTAAGATTTCCAGGTAAATTTCTCCAAGCAGCTTGGAAAGAGTTCATTGTCTGTCTCTGTGTTTTCTGTCACTTCATGCAATCACGGAATCCACGATGGTGAGATCAGATTTCTGCGTGGAGCACATTATATTTCTAAAAGAAATGTCCTGCTTCATCGCAACTGATTCGATTTGAAAGAGTATTAGCATGTATCTGAAAATGATTGGTTCCTGTTCGTGTCACTCACTCACAGTGGAGAGAGAGAGAGAGAGAGAGAGAGAGAGAGAGAGAGAGAGAGAGAGAGAGAGAGACATGGGTAATGTGCGCTACAGGAGAGCACGCTTTCTTCTCATCTCATCACACCTTCGCAAGATTCATGTGTAAAATGCGGCTTACACGGACACGGTGGACTATCTGCACCATAAGCATCCTGCTGATATTCTACAAGACGACAGATATTGGCAGAAATGAAGCGCATCAGAAAACTGGATCGACAGGGTAAGGGCTGTTCTGCTGTTGCAGCCAAAGAGTGAATTACCGCTCCTCATCTAATCAGCATCGAAAGTCTGATTAAGCTGTAGCCTATACACAAACATTCATTTATGTTCATTTGTTTATTGATTTGTATCATAAACCACCTATTGTAAACTATGGTTCATGAGCCCTGCTGTTGTTCCATCTCAACTAAATTAAGATCGATTCACACTGTCCTTTGTTTGAGTCGAAATGGTCTTTTTATTCTTACACTCCCTTGTGAAAAAGAAGTGCAATTAATTGTAACGAATGCGCACTTGTTGTGTACTTTAAATCTGAAACGTATATGTTATATACTTTTAAGTATATATTTTATATGCTATTATATATTGATAAGTTGTATTTGCAGATACTATTAATGAACTTAAGAGAGTATATTTTCTTTATTATGTTTCTTAACACTTAAACACATAATTTTAAACGTGCAATTTAAAAAGCATTATGTTGTAATAGCATAAATAGTAATAACATGATAAACAAGCTTCAGTAGAAGAGATTTTAAAGTATATTTAAGTTACCATGCTTGTCAGTACATTCATCAGTAACACTTTCATATTTAAATGTAATTATGTACATATAAAGATATGGATAAAAAAAAAGCACTATTAATGTCTAACTAATTGCAATAACGTAATTAAGTGTCAGAAAACATTACATTCAGGTTGCACTTAATTATATTCTTTTAAAATATGTCACTGTTTTTAAAAGTATTTAAAAAAATATATGCTAAAATCTAAAAAGGGCCTATAAACCTACATCCATTTTTCACTTTATTTTTATTTATTTATTTTAATTTTTTTCTTGATACACTTTTCTGTCATTGACGTGTCAAATCCTTGCTTCAAAAGGAGTGTTTTACGTTTGAAATGCAAGGTAAATCTAGATGATTCACTGACACACTTGCAGTTGTTTTGTTCCGGGAACTGAAAAAAATGTGGTCACATACTTGCTCCTAATTTGCTTCACTGTAGAATTGACACACACAACATTGGGCAATTTTAGTTTTTCCCCACAGAGTTGATGAATTTTAGTTCAGTGCCAAAAGAACTTGTGATACAATACACACATGCTGAGTATATATACAGTATAGAGGTGATTTGGTTCTGACATGTGTGTGTGTGTGTGTGTGTGTGTGTTGTTGGGTAAGTGAGAGGACAGCAGACAGCTTCTGCTCATCAGATGTGGTTTCCTTTAGTCTCTTGCAGACTCGTTGCGCATGATTTAAAAACAGAAGTGGAAAAAAACTCACAGTAAATGTCAACTGCATCTGAAGTTGAGTCTTCTCGTAGGTTTCGATTTGATTTCATGTAATATAAATCTTTTGATGCCTTGCAGCGACGGTTTGCTCATTTCCAAAATGCAGATTTGTACAAACTTGCTCCTCAAAGAAAGTTTTTTTGTTCTTAATAACTGAATAACAAGCACTTCTAGTAAATTTCCTTATATAATATTTGTTTTCCAGTACAAATATAAAAAAAATTCAATCAAGATAAAAGCAAAATTACATAAGATTACGTTTCGTTGTCTGAAAAATGTATAAAATGTAAGTTTATCAGAATCAGAATGAGCTTTATTGCCAGGTATGTTTACACATACGAGGAATTTGTTTTAGTGACAGATGAGGATATGCTTACAAAATAAATAAATAAATACAATAATAAAATGAAATAAAAATTCTGCCAATGGGGTAGAGAATAACAAAATTCAATTAAGTTTATTATTGTTATCCCATTGCCTCTCCAGTAAATGTATCATGGTTTAAGAATGTTTAGATATTTGTACTAGAAAACGACAAATATCGAGTAAGAGAATAATTTTTCGCACTGCATTGCTGTAATTGCGTAGTAGATAAAGGAGTGTAAGAGGCGTGAATTTAAACACAAGATGTGTTTATGAACAAAAACAAAACTCAGTGATATTGGCATCCAGAGATTATACCTGTTACGGACTGCTCAGAGACTGAGTGAGGATCCAAATGCAGTGATTATTAGGAAAGTCCAGAATCGAAATCAGACAACAGGCAAGGGAGAACACCGGCAAAGAGTCCAAAAACCAAGATACATATAAACAGGCGAACCGCTCAGAGATGCAATGTAACACTTACAAGACTTCGCAAAGAATGACAAACTAAACCAGACTTATATAGGGTGAGCAGACAGGGTAAATGAGACACAGGTGCAAACAGTGAGTGTTGATTAGTCCGGACAAAGGATTATGGGAAATGAAGTTTTTGATGGAGTGGTAAAGTCTGGGATGGAGTGCCCTCTAGCGAAGCTCACGGGAACTCCAGCTAGAGATCATGACAATACCACAAAATCTTACAAAAACACAGACAAAGCAAAACATGACTGGACAAATAACAACTTAAAACACAATATACTGGATAATGAGAACAAGAAACAGATGACCAGGGTTACCACTGTTAACTGAAACTAAAACCAATAATAAAACATTTTCATTACTTGAAATAAACATTAATTGAAATAAAATATATTAAAAAAAACCGTAAACTTATTTAATTTCAGCTAGTTGCAAGGCAACATTTCAAATTTTCATTTAGGTGAAGTACTAAAATAACTAAAAATAAAAATGCAGATTTAAAATAACAAAAAATAATAAAAATGGCAAAAACACAAAACAAAACTACTAAAACTTGAAATACAAAGTTCTGGCATGAAACTCTAGATGGCGCAGTCCGATAGGTTTAACTCAGTCTGACCTAATGACATCATTATCACATGGCACAGCTGAACATATTGTCCACACACTGATGTAACTGCTCCATAAAAATAATTTATTGCGGCAACGTTTCGACCATCAGGTCTTCGTCAGGTACCTGACGAAGACCTGATGGTCGAAACGTTGCCGCAATAAATTATTTTTATGGAGCAGTTACATCAGTGTGTGGACAATATGTAACTGCTCCATAAAAATAATTTATGGAGCAGTTACATCAGTGTGTGGACAATATGTAACTGCTCCATAAAAATAATTTATGGAGCAGTTACATCAGTGTGTGGACAATATGTAACTGCTCCATAAAAATAATTTATGGAGCAGTTACATCAGTGTGTGGACAATATGTAACTGCTCCATAAAAATAATTTATGGAGCAGTTACATCAGTGTGTGGACAATATGTAACTGCTCCATAAAAATAATTTATGGAGCAGTTACATCAGTGTGTGGACAATATGTAACTGCTCCATAAAAATAATTTATGGAGCAGTTACATCAGTGTGTGGACAATATGTAACTGCTCCATAAAAATAATTTATGGAGCAGTTACATCAGTGTGTGGACAATATGTAACTGCTCCATAAAAATAATTTATGGAGCAGTTACATCAGTGTGTGGACAATATGTAACTGCTCCATAAAAATAATTTATGGAGCAGTTACATCAGTGTGTGGACAATATGTAACTGCTCCATAAAAATAATTTATGGAGCAGTTACATCAGTGTGTGGACAATATGTAACTGCTCCATAAAAATAATTTATGGAGCAGTTACATCAGTGTGTGGACAATATGTAACTGCTCCATAAAAATAATTTATGGAGCAGTTACATCAGTGTGTGGACAATATGTAACTGCTCCATAAAAATAATTTATGGAGCAGTTACATCAGTGTGTGGACAATATGTAACTGCTCCATAAAAATAATTTATGGAGCAGTTACATCAGTGTGTGGACAATATGTAACTGCTCCATAAAAATAATTTATGGAGCAGTTACATCAGTGTGTGGACAATATGTAACTGCTCCATAAAAATAATTTATGGAGCAGTTACATCAGTGTGTGGACAATATGTAACTGCTCCATAAAAATAATTTATGGAGCAGTTACATCAGTGTGTGGACAATATGTAACTGCTCCATAAAAATAATTTATGGAGCAGTTACATCAGTGTGTGGACAATATGTAACTGCTCCATAAAAATAATTTATGGAGCAGTTACATCAGTGTGTGGACAATATGTAACTGCTCCATAAAAATAATTTATGGAGCAGTTACATCAGTGTGTGGACAATATGTAACTGCTCCATAAAAATAATTTATGGAGCAGTTACATCAGTGTGTGGACAATATGTAACTGCTCCATAAAAATAATTTATGGAGCAGTTACATCAGTGTGTGGACAATATGTAACTGCTCCATAAAAATAATTTATGGAGCAGTTACATCAGTGTGTGGACAATATGTAACTGCTCCATAAAAATAATTTATGGAGCAGTTACATCAGTGTGTGGACAATATGTAACTGCTCCATAAAAATAATTTATGGAGCAGTTACATCAGTGTGTGGACAATATGTAACTGCTCCATAAAAATAATTTATGGAGCAGTTACATCAGTGTGTGGACAATATGTAACTGCTCCATAAAAATAATTTATGGAGCAGTTACATCAGTGTGTGGACAATATGTAACTGCTCCATAAAAATAATTTATGGAGCAGTTACATCAGTGTGTGGACAATATGTAACTGCTCCATAAAAATAATTTATGGAGCAGTTACATCAGTGTGTGGACAATATGTAACTGCTCCATAAAAATAATTTATGGAGCAGTTACATCAGTGTGTGGACAATATGTAACTGCTCCATAAAAATAATTTATGGAGCAGTTACATCAGTGTGTGGACAATATGTAACTGCTCCATAAAAATAATTTATGGAGCAGTTACATCAGTGTGTGGACAATATGTAACTGCTCCATAAAAATAATTTATGGAGCAGTTACATCAGTGTGTGGACAATATGTAACTGCTCCATAAAAATAATTTATGGAGCAGTTACATCAGTGTGTGGACAATATGTAACTGCTCCATAAAAATAATTTATGGAGCAGTTACATCAGTGTGTGGACAATATGTAACTGCTCCATAAAAATAATTTATGGAGCAGTTACATCAGTGTGTGGACAATATGTAACTGCTCCATAAAAATAATTTATGGAGCAGTTACATCAGTGTGTGGACAATATGTAACTGCTCCATAAAAATAATTTATGGAGCAGTTACATCAGTGTGTGGACAATATGTAACTGCTCCATAAAAATAATTTATGGAGCAGTTACATCAGTGTGTGGACAATATGTAACTGCTCCATAAAAATAATTTATGGAGCAGTTACATCAGTGTGTGGACAATATGTAACTGCTCCATAAAAATAATTTATGGAGCAGTTACATCAGTGTGTGGACAATATGTAACTGCTCCATAAAAATAATTTATGGAGCAGTTACATCAGTGTGTGGACAATATGTAACTGCTCCATAAAAATAATTTATGGAGCAGTTACATCAGTGTGTGGACAATATGTAACTGCTCCATAAAAATAATTTATGGAGCAGTTACATCAGTGTGTGGACAATATGTAACTGCTCCATAAAAATAATTTATGGAGCAGTTACATCAGTGTGTGGACAATATGTAACTGCTCCATAAAAATAATTTATGGAGCAGTTACATCAGTGTGTGGACAATATGTAACTGCTCCATAAAAATAATTTATGGAGCAGTTACATCAGTGTGTGGACAATATGTAACTGCTCCATAAAAATAATTTATGGAGCAGTTACATCAGTGTGTGGACAATATGTAACTGCTCCATAAAAATAATTTATTGCGGCAACGTTTCGACCATCAGGTCTTCGTCAGGTACCTGACGAAGACCTGATGGTCGAAACGTTGCCGCAATAAATTAGAACTAAAATTAAAACAGAAAATCTAAAAATAAAGATAATACTTTGTTTTAAGGACCAATTCTCACTATTAACATTGCTTACTAGCATGCATATTACTTGCATATTGGCTGTTTATTACTACTTATAAAACACACATTAATGTCTTATTCTGCATGACCATATTTTAGACCCTTAATCCACTCCATACCTAAATGTAGGTAATTAATAAAATCTAACTCAAAATATTAACAATAATCAATGATACTAAAATAACACTGATATAAACAATCAATAACTGAGGAAACCAAGAAAGAAAAGAGGAAAAGAGTAGACAGATACAAAATACAAAAGAGTCCAATACAGAAGACCTGTAACATATGCCAAGGTCTCTGGAAAGAGGTTTGTTTGGGTCATATTTCTGTGAGTCCAGTGGCAACATGTCTTAAACTGGTTGTTTAAGACAAGGCTTTTTTTTTTTTAAATATCTGATACCGTGATGGATACCAGTAATGAACATGGCATGGTTCTTTCTTTTTGTTATCAGTGTATATTAATGAGTTTGACTACACAAACACAATATCAAACCCAATACAAGTATCAGTACAAGTGCGTATAGTTACTATTTCTCACACTGCCATCTGAACAGGAAGTCTGAGCCCAGTTCTACTAGACTGATGGCCAACGGCTCTGGGAAACTTTTCGGCTTTAGTTTAAGTGATCTGAGTGACATGGGAGTGGGATGGAAGATCAATGCCACCCTTGTGACCATCATAAGGTGAGTAACCTGCACTGTATAAAAAGGTTTTGCTTCATGTGCTTCATGAGGTAACATGTACATAAAGCACAGATTTGAGAGGGATGAGTATTAGAGATATTGCTTAATAGACTGTCCTATGACTTGCTCAGAGCATGACATCACAGGGTCATTTTTAGAGTATGTTTTGCAGGCTGGTGTTGTTATGAACTAATGAGTAATCTGTGCCGTTTATTCATTTCAACACGTGGAAAGGAAGGACGTACTTCGCTTCTTGGATGTGGAGAGAGACGTGTCTGTTGTCAAGAGCAGTTTTAAACAAGGCGATACAGTCCACTATGTTCTGGACCGACGCAGGACATTCAATATTTCTCAAACTCTACACAGTTTACTTCCTGAAGTCTCTCCACTAAAGAACAAGACGTTCAAGACATGTGCCATTGTGGGAAACTCAGGCATTCTCCTAAAGAGCAGATGTGGGAAGGAGATAGACAGCCATGGATTTGTTATACGGTAATGTATTTACTTCTTTGCTGTGATCTAATTATTACGGTCTTATGGCAAGGCACAGAGTCTAATAAGGTCTAAATGGTCATTTATCTCTCACTGTATCAGTGTTTTCCTGCTGGTTATCTTGGCTTGAATACTATTTGATCCCATTTTTGGGAAGCTGAACCAGGAACAAAAGCTCTAAGCAATTTAGAAGCTTTTCATGACTTGTACATTCTGTAGTACTGTAATATTTTCAGCCCAAAATGAAAATCATAACCATCATGTCTTTCCAAACCAGTGTTGTTGTAGTTTAATTTAGATATAGTTTTTGTGGTAACACTTTACAGTAAGGTTCCATTAGTTAATGTAATAGCTAGCATGGACTAACAATGAACAATACATTTATTACAGTATTTATTAATCTTTGTTAATTTTAGTTAATGAAAATACAGTCATTCATTGTTAGTTCATGTTAATTCACAGTGCATTGCCTAATCTTAAAAAGCACAACTTTTGATTTTAATAACGCATTAGTAAATGTTGAAATTAACATTAAATAAGATTAATAAATGTTGTAGAAGTATTGTTCATTCTTAGTTCATATTAACTACAGTATAGTTAACTAATGAACCTTATTGTAAAGTGTTACCATTTTTGTTAATATTTTGAATTAGATTTTATTTTTATATTTCCTCTTTTCAAAGTTTTAGCAATTTTGTTATGTTTTTGTCATGTTTTTTAGTTTTAGATATTTTAGTACGTACTAAAATAGTTAAACTAAACGAAAAGGAGCTGTCTAGCTGAAATAAAATTAGTTTAAAATTTTCTAAAATATTTTATTTGATTTCAGTTAATTAATGATAATAACGCCTGTTCCAAACTTGTATGACTTTCTTTCATGAAACTTTAATGTCCATAGTGCTTTCGTAATGGCTACTGAGGCTGTTAAATGCTAACAATAACTCAGAATAAAAACAAAACAAAACAAAAACATCATAATAGTATGTGTGACGTATAACTTGTGCACTATAATTCAAGTCTTTTGTAGCCAAACCATAGCTTTGTGTGACGAACAAGCTTGAATTTTAAGTAGTTATTCACGGATAATCTTTCCTGCAAATCTCATCTGCAAATGCATTAAATTCAAATATGCCGTATGAACACTCTGAATTATGTTGCACATGGTTGAATGGGATTTTTATGATGGTTTTGTGGTGCTCAGTAGCCTCAGTCCACATTATTAAAGAGCAGTGTGCACATTCTTCAAATGTGTTTAAAAAAAAAGTAAGGCATATGGATTTGAAAGGGTGTTAGGCTTATTTTTCAAAGGTTTTATTTTTAGTTTCTTCCTTAAATTGTAATTTGTTTGTTTTAATTTCCACTTATTTTCGAAGGGCCCTGGCTCTGACATTTGCCTGTTCTTTCATTCTGGAGCAGATGTAACCTTGCTCCACTAGAGGAGTTTGCAGATGATGTGGGTTTAAGGTCAGACTTCACCACTATGAACCCCTCTGTGATCCCGCGGGTGTTTGGGGGTCTGCGGGACGAAAGACAGCGGGAGAGTTTCATCCTGCGTCTACAGCAGCTAAACAACAGCGTGCTCTGGATTCCTGCCTTCATGGTGAAGGGTGGAGAGAGGCATGTGGAAATTGTGAACGAGCTCATTCTTAAACACAAACTGAAAGTGCGCACAGCATATCCTTCACTCCGCCTTATCCATGCTGTACGAGGGTGAGTTATAAAATTAAAAATTCCAGTATTCAATTTTAATTGAAGTAGAAAAAAAGAGTGCCAAACACTTTTCAGAGTAATTACTAAATTTTAGCTCTTTAATTGAAGTAACGTACTAACATGAAAAACAAAGCTAAACATCCTTTAGATTAGATTAGATTAAACTTTATTGTCACTGTGCAGAGTACAAGTACAGAGCCAATGAAATGCAGTTAGCATCTAACCAGAAGTGCAAATAAAAAAGTATATAAATAAATATAAAATATGTGTATATACATTAAGCTTTATGACATATAGTGGTACATGGTATCAGGTAGAAGGGCAGAGACCAGCTCAATGCAAATGACTGTAAATGATGTGATTAATGAATAATATCAAGAGACCAGCTCAATGCAAATGACTGTAAATGATGTGATTAATGAATAATATCAAT